AAAGAAAGAAAGAGAAAATGTATGAGCTCTCTTCTCTCTCTCTCTTTTCTCTTCCCTGGCTTGTTATAAACAACGACCAATCACACACACTTATTAGTCCTCACATTAAAAAAAATGAAGTGAAAATGATGCAATAACAGACGCCATTGATAAACAAACAACACTGGTTTTTCTCTCTTGATTCTTTTCTTGAGAGAAATCAGAAGCCCACCTGTTTATTGTGAATTTATGATAAAGGGCCTCTCTCTTCTCTCTCTCTCTCTCTCTTGTCTCAGAGAAATTGATCGGCAAGGAGAGGAAAAAAAGAAGGAGAACAATGGAAATAAGAAGAGAAATTATGTGTGAGAGAGAGAGGGAGTGTGTGAGGAAGGTACAACGCGTAAGGCACAAGGGACAAGGCTTGAGATTTACTGAATTTACGCAGGACTGTCAAAAAATGTGGGGAGGGTTTTACGCAGTGGGGCTACCCACCGACGCCAGCGGTGGCGCGTGGGCCTTGGAGGCGCAATAAAGGGCAGAATGGTAATTTCACTCTCTTTTGTTTTCTTCTTTGTTTGTTTGTTTTTTTTTTTTATAGGTTAAAAGACAGCAAGGCACATGATAGATTTTCCAGTGAAGGAAAACAACTGTCTCACCTTCTCCACATAAGAGAGAGAGAGAGAGAGAGAGAGAGATAGAGAGAGTTTAAGGTTAATTACTTTATTAGTTTAGTAAATACGTCTTTTGACTTATTCTACAGTCAATTTTTTAGGATTTAATCTCCTTAAATGTTAAATTAAGCAAATTTATGTTTCTTTAGTCAAAGAATAATGAATAAATCTAATTTAGGATTTATGATTTTATTATGGAGCCAACCTGCTATATACAACAAATAAGCTTACCACATTAATAGAATTATACTAATATTATTTAAGTAAACATATAATATAGTAGGTTTACTTGTTGTATATAGAATGTTGGCTCCACTATGGAACCAACTGTTGACTTCACAACAAAATCGGATTTATTTATTATAGACTCAATTTCGTTTATTCCGTTTGTGGTTTTGGTGTACCTAAAGTAACAATGGAACGAATCCCCCATAAATGTTTATTAACGTGATTTTTAACCTAAAAACTCATTTTATTCCATCAATTAATAATGAATCTCAAACTTAAAATTCTTTTCAGATTCAAAAAATTATTCTCGTAAACATATTATATTTTACATTAACTTTTAAAATTTTTCAATACTACTCATATATTTTACAACTTTACAAATTAAACCACACTATTATTTGAAATGCAATTTATATCATAAAATTAATTATAAAGATATAATTCATATACATATTAAATCGGATAAATGAATATTTATTAAAAATTAAAAATTACAATGTACATGATGAAAAATAAAAATACATTAAAATGAACATAAAATAATTATCCGTACAAGTCAAAATACATCTACTATTTTAAGTCTCGGAATCGGCGAATTCCTTCACAAATGATCAATTTGTGCAGTTCAAAGTGCAACGAGATCATATTTACTTCTAATATTTTTGTATCGAGATATGAATTCCTGAAATAGAGTACTTTCGTCTATTGTTATTTCGACCTCCGGCGACGGCGTTTCCACCTCAGTTACGATTGCTGCACTTAGGTACATTCATTCTCGACAATCATGTTATGCAAAATTATACATGTGGTTATTATATTATGTAGCACTTTTTTCCCAATAAAATACTGGTCCTGCTACAATGTGAAAACATGTTTGAAAAACTCCAAATGCACGTTCAACATCTTTTCTGCATGCTTCTTGTTTCATTACAAATATCTTTCTTCGGATCACGTGGCTCAAGAATTGTTCGCACAATAGTAGACCATTTTAGGTATATGTTATTAGCTAAATAATAATCGATGTTGCGTTATTTTCTTTGAATTATGATTACATTAAGATTTAGAGTTGATAAACTCATAATGAAGGGAAATATTTATGAGGAAATATGTTTTATTGTTCTTGTGGTGAGGTCGACCTCCGAAGATGAGGTCGGCTTCACACTCACACTTTGCTAATTACAGTGTTTTATTACAGAATAGAGAGTAAATGTAGAGAGAGAGAGCGAGAGATAAATTTGGTATCTTTTTTAACCAATTCCCAATAAATGAAGGTGGTAGCCTATTTTAACTATTACAAGTTGGATATTGTTCATCTCGTCACTTTGTACAGTAACTAGGAATGATAGGTTCGGTCTCGTTCTGAGAACCATTAAATGAGATTTGAGGTCAAACTAATGATTGTCTGCCAGACATTAAATGCACACGTGAAATGCATTCAATGTTGACAAATTGTCCTACAATCCTATGTTTAATTGGACTGGAGGCTAGGGTAGCGCGTCTCATCGACAATCATCACTTAACAAGTGGCAATACTTTATTGTTTCCAGGTCCTAGAGTGTGCGCCAGGGTCCGACCTTATCGATTCTTCAGACATGACTTCTCCGCGACTTAGTTTTCTTTATCTTATGATCTTTGGGGTCTTCTTTCTGAGTTATGCATTTATGAATGTTGAGATCGAGCTCAGAGAACTAACCAGAGGTACTAGCCTCCAAGAGCCCGGTAATGTAGCCGACCTCGATGTATATCAATGTCGGGTGGCCTGGGATGTGAGAGATCTAAAGGTGAGGTCGATTAGACCTCAAGACAAGGTCTAGGACGTTCTTAGAAGGTTCATAATAGAAAGGATAAGATTTGGACCTACGATTATATTTCTCTGGGAAAAAACTATAAAGGGGGGAAGGGTGGGGGAGGGGGGGGAGATTCTAAGAAGGAAAGCATCACTCGCTCAATAATTGTTGCCATGATAGAGACATGGTAATTTAGGAAAGTATAATCCCAATGAATCTCTACCCTAACAAGGACCCTATGCAGTTTGAAGGTTCTAAAGTTCTATATATGGACAACAAGTTTATTCACAACAGAATACACAATTCCACTATTATCTTGTATATTCTCTATGCGCAATTGAGCGAGTTCTGACTTGAGCGTCAGGGAGTTTTCTATTGGGATCCCCCTCTCGGTATATTGCAGGTTATCGGGAGTATGCAATCCATCGTGACTGAAAAGTGACGTATCATCAAGGTCGGGTGATCTGAGGACAAGTTAGACCTCGAGATGAGGCTTGATTTTTCTTCAGAAAGACCACAATAGATAGGTCAGGAGGTCGGAGTCATGACCTAAGAACTGGGCTAAAACAATAAAGGGGGAAATAATCCTAGTAAGAATGAAAGAATCGCTCTCAAGGACTCTTGCCTAGTTATAAACGTGGTAAGTTAGGGAAGTAGGATCCGGTTGCATCTCTTACTAACAAGGACTTTCTCTAGCTCCAACTTATTTGTCCTATGTAAGGGCGACAAGTTCTTCTTCATTGATGATCACATTGTACGCCTTTTACTTACATACTTTACATATATAGTTTGAGTGAGTTCTGACTTGAGCGTCGTAGAGCGTATTGCAGGTCATCGGAGTTCAAGGACGAGGACCGTTCGAGGCGTAGGCGTTCAATTCAGTTCGTGACACAATGTGATGTAACACCATTGTTAACCAAAAAAATAGTAAAAAACTTGTTTATTAGTATACAAATAGACCCTAATTTTTCCTTTTTGTGCTTTAAAGACTAGTTATTATACGAAATTTAAAAATTAGAAATTTTAATTTCATGACTTATATTAAGATTGGATACTTTTTTTTTTC